AGCGGAATTAAGCTCGCTACAGGACGATGTCGACACGGAAGTACAAGGAGGTACTGTGCATAGTGTCAGGAGATGCGACGAGACCAATTCCATATCCATGTCCAATTCCGCTCTGGCTTCCACGTGGATTCTAATCTCAAGTAAGCCCCCAGACCCATGCCAAACTGGAGCGTATCTAGTTGTAATACTCGGTCCTTGGACAGATATCAAATGTGGACGAGTACTCTTAGCGACTATCAAGCCCCAAGTCCCAAATACAGGTGATATGGGCCACAGCGACATTTTCCACAGATAAGCGGCTTGTGCAGTGTGTAGGTATGTAGTCGGTTATCCATCGACTTGTAAATAGTGGTGCTAGTTAACTGTACCGAGTATCTAATTATCACAAACCTTCACTCAGAGCCCACTACATCCCACTACAGCCCAGTCCAGCCAAACCCAAAACCCAAAACCCAAACCCAAAACTCAGACCCAGACCCAGCCACAGCCTAGCTCAACCCAGGCTGGTTTCTCCGTCCTTATCAGACCCAATCGGGCCTGTATGTATGCATGTCTTTATCTATGCAATATGCAATGTATGCCTGCATTCAACATTACATGGACATGTATTCGAGGGGACTTATCAGCCTCGCCCAACCCGCGATATCGGCATACGAGTAAGTATACTTCCAAGTACAAGTGCATCTCTTTCTTTAGTGAAAAGTTTCCCAAGGCTCCGTAGATAACCGCACCCGCGATTCTGGAATGCGTGGGCGAGGGGTGCATTGCCGCGAACACGTTACACTTTTTACACTTGCGACAGGAGATATGAGATGTGAGATGTGAGATATGAGATGTGAGACTTCCAGACTGCGCAGACTCGACACCTGACTCAACTCAGCTCAACTCTCCGCAGACAGGTAGCTGGTTACAAGGAGGTCTCCTGCCTGCTCGCCACCCGTACCTGTGCGCAGACGCAGATGCCCGACTCACGCCAAATGTCTTGTGATCGGGGCTGATGCTGGGTAAGTCGGGGATTTAATCACGAGACAGACAGACAGTCATCCAGTCCAGCTCATTTACTTCTTTCGCCGAGGGAGTTGCGGAATGAGACAAGTCGCACAGCGAGCAAGCACGGTGGCACGCCACAGGAACTGCCTGCGAAATGTGACACAGGTGATATGCTCGCTTGGTTTCGTTTCGTCAACGACAACTCACCAGCTCAAGGTTGTCAGATGTATTACGAAGGGCGTTGCTATGCCCAGAGCGTTTACTTGACACGATTGGATGAATGAGTGGCTAGTAGCTATGTACTCGGTACCTTCCTTAGCTATGCGATGCTATGCGACACCATGCTATGCTTTGTACCTAAAGTGCAGTACATACACATACACACACAAACACAAGTAAATCAAACGACAATCTGTCTGTTCGTGCAACCCACCCGTCGATTGAAACGGCTTGCAACTCCCGAAAGGAAATCTATCCTCGTCGTCTATAACCGCGAACTCTCTGCTCCCAACAGCCCATTCTCCTTCAACCACTGCACCACTTCGGGCCCCACGCGCGCTTTAAACGCCGCGTTCCGCGCAATGTTGTCCCTCACGACGGCGACCGGATGCGCCATCTCGGGCAGGTCCTTCTCCGCGAAGAAGCGGGCAATGTCGGCTTCGAGCGCGAGGTTGTCGAGGCCCGAGAGGGCGTTGTCGACGAACCACTCAAAGACGATGCTGTTGATCCGCAGCCGCGCGTAGACGGCGTCCCAGTTCTCCTTGACGTACTCCCACAGGGCCTCGGCGCAGGGCCCGTTGCCCACGGCCATGCCGACAAAGTGGATGTTTTGCAGCGTGACGTGGTCCTCGGTGCGGAATGTCATGTCGAGGTAGTCGCGCGTCAGGGCGGGGAGGTTCGTTCGCCCCAGCGCGGCGATGCAGAGTTCGCGGCCATCGATAGTCTCGTTGCGGAGGTACTCAGCCTTGACGGCCCGGTATGCTTCTTCCCCGCCTCGGGCGACGGAGACGTTGAAGATGGGCGTTTGAAGGTTGCGATTGATGGCGTCCTTGTCGCCGTTCTGCCACAGGGAGAAGCGCCGCTGGACTTCACCTATGACCTCGTCGTCATCGGCGAAAGCGGCGAGCTGGATCAAAGTCTTCTCCAGCTCCCCCTTGACGTAGCTGTCCGCACAGCCGGTCCAGGTGATTTCAGACTTGACCCCCGCCATCAGGTCTCGGATGTGAGCCTTGAGAACATTGACGATTTGCGGGTCGTCAGACACGGAGGAGACAACCGCGCCCGCAGCCTTTCGTATCTGTGACCACACGAAACAATCTTTCTCGTGCCGGAGCTCGCTCATCACCGACAGCAGCTCTCCCGCAGGTCTCACCCCGGCGAAAACCAACGACGTGATATCCGTGATAATCCCGACTTTGTCGGCAGAGGACATCCCTGACGAGAGGTGCGTCAGCGACAGAAGATGGTTGTGGGGATAGTCGGTGCGATAGAAGCCGGCGTGATCTTTGTTGAGTTTTGCCAGAGAGAGGTTCTGCTTGATAATGCCTGACTCGGTCGTGAGGGTATTATCTGCGGTGGTCAAAGTCTCCCCATCCAGTCCCAGAGGGACATGCCAGCACGTAGTCCTTTGCTGCACGCTGTGCCTGGGAAATGGCTTTTGATTCAGGTGAAGTCCATCAGCAGTCGGCGCTGCGGTGACAATAGGAAATCCGGCTTCATGGATCCACGGATCCATGATCGTCGCCACATCCACTCCCGATGCCGCGGACAAAGCTGTCCAGAGGTCGTTGGAGGTTGCATTCTGATACATGCGGCTTTTGAGGTAAGCGGCGATGCCGTTCAGGAAGGCGTCCTGGCCGATGTGCGCGGCCAGCATGCGGATCACGGCGCTGCCCTTGCAGTACGTAATGCTGTCGAACATCTGGTGCACTTGGGAGCTGCCTTGGATTTGTGACTCGATGGGATGTGTCGAATTCAGGGAGTCCAGCGTGAATGCCTCTTCCAGTGCTTCGCCCTGTGTCGTGGTCAAACAATGAACAACAGAGCCATCCCCGGAGACTGGAAAAACTTACCACAAATTGACCCCATATATTCCAGTCTATATTACATTGTTTGATTAGTTCAAAAAGTCGACGAGTTGAAGATAAACGGTCCTCCTTACCAGGATGAAGGTGGTCCACGGCAAGGTAGCCTGCCCAGGTCGCAAAGCCCTCGTTCAACCACAATTCATTCCAGCCGCTCATGGTGACCAGATTGCCGAACCACTGATGAGCCAGTTCGTGCGCGATGACATACGAGGCCTTGGACATGAGCCGGTTGTCCGAGGTGGCCGGATCAAACAGGATCTTGGTCGGCTTGTAGGTGATCAAGCCCCAATTCTCCATGGCGCCGCCGATGAACTCGTGGACGACGAGCTGGTCGCACTTGGGGAGGGGGTAGTCGACGCCAAAGCTCTCGCTGAAGAAGTCGAGGGCGTCGCAGGCATCTTGGAGTGCAAAGTGGGCGTATTGGGTCAGTCCCTTGGTCGTGTAGATCCTCACGGGAAGCCTCGTGCCCGCGTGTTCTCGCTTTGTCAGGGCTTCGATGTATTCAAAGTCACCTACGGCCCAGCACAGTAGCTGATAGGCCCCTTCAGCATTGAATCCAGATATCTTGGATGGTTACTTCACTCACGTAGGTGCTCATGATGGGCGTCTTCTCGAAACGCACTGCCTTCAAGCCGGTTTGGGCTCCCTCGAGTAGTCGCGCCGACTTCTCAGGCATGTTGCTTAGCGCCGTCAACTCTGCGGGGATCTCCAGTTCAAGCTCAAAGGTCGCTTTCAAGTGCGGCTCGTCGAAACAAGGAAAGGCCTTGCGTGCATCGCAGGGCTCAAAGTGGGTGGTTAATTGCCAGTGATACTTGCCGACCTTGACACCCGCGGCGCTGGTATCTGACTCTGGCTCATATCTGGCACGAAAAAAGCCGACCATGGAATGATCGATTCTCCCTTTGAATGAGACATCTAATCTCAAGGGTCCCTTTGGGATGGTTTCCTTGAACGATATGCGAGCCTGCTGAGACGTTTCACCCAGGACTATTGACGTCGCCGAGTATGTCGCTGGGTGACTATCAGTCATTGTGTCAATGTCAAAATCAGTCGGCAGACTTACAAGAAGATTTATTGAGGTCATTGAACGACACCTCAGCGCGAGATATCTCGAGGGCGCGGGCATTGATGACGACGTGGTTTGCAGGAACCGTTGCTTCCGCATCGATCACCACCCGCCCTTCGTAGGTCCATTCTCCCCCGAATTCTATATTGAAGATTCGGATATTATAGTTGAGGGGCTTGACACTGTTAAGTTCTTTTTATCAGAGACCATCTACACCGAAACAACGTCGGAGAAGTCTGTACGTACCCCTGAGATAGAAGGCTGAGTGGCTTGGATGCATCCTGTTCGGACAACATCGTCGCCCTTGCACCAAAAGGAAAAGAAACGTCCCAAGGTACAAATCCGATACACAAAAAGGGACTACAAAATACAGACTGGCGGATTTACTTGGGCCCCGTTGTTAAACCTTCTCCCATGACCTGAATCGGCCACGAATGCCGTCTTAAAGCCCATGGTAAAGTCCTAGTATTAGGGTTTGAGGCCATGTATTTTGGACAGTCATATCAACTTGTAACAAACCATCCTAAGAGCGGCTGAGGGGCGCGGGAGTTGTTTCTATGACCTGATAGTAAGAAGACAGGGTCCTGCGAGTCCTGGTTGCCGGGATAAGATTCATTGCTAATGCAAGCTGCCCGTCGACCCAAGCGAAGCATTGCCGAAACTCTGGTCGCCGCCGCCACAATCTGGATTCCGGAGAACAACGCGATAAGTATCGACCAATGAAGCCAAAGACAGAGGGTCCTCCTCGTCGCCGAAGCCTTCCCTTTCCCAATTTAACTCCTCCAAGGGACCCAAAATCATTCTTTCTTTCCATTCACTCTGAAGAAATCCCCATACCTAATGCCCCCCCGACATCAATGGCTCAAGCGCGCCGTTCAGCCCCGAAGGCGCGGACGCGTACCTTTACAGGCTGCTTGACGTGTCGGACGCGCAAAGTGAAATGTGATTTACATCGTCCAAGCTGCAACAACTGCATCCGGCTGAGTCTGCAATGTCGGGGTTATCAAGTCCAGCTCCAGTGGCTGCCCGTCTGGGATCCGGAACAGCCTGACTCGACGTCGCCAGGCAACTCGACGACCGAGGGAGCAGCAGCGGGGGGAGAAGGGCGCCGCACTCGAACAGAGATCTTTGATGGTACGTGTTAGATGGCCTGGAACATAATACCCGTGTCCATCTAGCTAAGATTGCTTCTCCTGTCAGCCCATTCGAGGTCTCGCTTCTCCGAAGACTTGGTTCGGCATCTCTCAACCGGCCAGAACCCACAACAGCACCTCGACCAAGTCCTCGACCGCCTCGATGAACAGGTCAAGGAGTCCAAGCACTCGCGGGTCGATAAGAAAGGCTGGCAAATCTCCAAGGGCCCGTTTTCTGTCTTGCAACTCGTCCCCGCCCTCGTCCCCGTCTCCGTCGCTGAAAATGTCGAGGCTCTAGAGCAGTCGGAGATGACCATTCAACTGCCAGAGTCCATGTCTTCTCTCGACGGCGATCGCGAAGCGGCGACAGCATGTCTGGACGGCATTGACTGGTCATTGTCCGTGGCGGACAACGGTGTTGGGTCTCAAGCACTATTTGCCGAAACCCCTGCTGGAGCAAGTTACAATTATTCTTTCACCAACGCCGCCTACACGCCGCTGATTGAAGGTAAGGAAGGATCTTCCTATCAGGTTGTTGAACTCGTGCCCGTGGCTCAAATGCAGCAAACAGGTACAAATATACCGGGCACCAGCACACCCTTTCAAGATGACATCCAGCTTTCTCAACCACGATTTACGGGCATCGCGACATATGGACACCCTGCTGCCTCGTCCCTGTCCAATGGATCGCCCTACGTGCCCTCGAATGTCCGATTCCTGCTATCTCACTACATGAACCATGTCATATCCTCTCTTTCTGGGCTACCGCACAACGAAGCCCCCTGGAAGAGTATCCACGTGCCCTACGCCATGACCGCGTATGGAGAACTGGATATCATGGGCCAGTCGGGCTTCGCCAGGGTGTCGCTCCTGTACAGTCTCCTGTCGTTGACCTGCTACCACCTCGCGACTCTCTACAAGCCTGCCGCCACCGTGAGCGGCACGGACACGACGCAGCTCCTGTCGACCGACGACCAGGCGACGAACTTGCAATACTGGAACTCGCAAGGCCTCAAGTTTCGGGAGATTGCGCGGACCGCCTTTCGCAAATGTTTGCAAGCAATGTCCACCGAGCAACCAGAACAGATCAAATACAAAGAGCTCTTTGTGAGCGCCATGAACCTGATCTGTACCGGGGTAAGTCTACGTCTCCGTCCTGCATTTGGGGTTCCAAGACTGGAGGAGACACTCGCAAGCTAATAGTCGTGGGAAAATAGATCGTCAGTGGTGATCCGTGGGACTCGCGACTTTTCATCCTCCAATGCGAAGAGATTGTCAACAAGATCGGTCGGAAGAAGGAGGCCTTTTCCAAGAAAGCACTACAACTACATCGAATATTCGCCTACATCAGGGTGATTGAAAAGACCACCTTCGTCCAGACGCGGGACCAGTACCTCGTCACGCTAGGCAAGAAGCCCATGCTCGCCAACGAGGTCGAGCTCGTCAAGAAGATCCCCGAGGACAGTTTCCCTTACTCGACGACCCTCGCCTCCAACTACGAGACGTGGTCGGACCTGGGACTGAGCGGGCCCGAGGAGGAATCCTTCAACGACTTCTACGGCATGCCGGCGTCGATCCTGAAGCTGATCGCCCGGACGAACAACATGGTCGCCCAGGTCGACCCGCCGCAGCACCACGGCACGTCGCAGCCTTACATGCCTGCGAGCCTGGTCGACGCGGCCGCGGCCCTGGAGCGAGACATCTGCAACTGGGAGACACCACAACGGCCCGCTGAGAGCGGCGGCGACAACAACAGCAACAACAGCAACCCGTTTGACCTGCTGAGCTGCAGCTCTGCCGAGAGCATGCCGGACCCTTCGCAGACGATGAAATCCAACATTGCGACGGCCATGCACCACGCACTGATGGTCTACTTCTTCCGGTTCGTGCGCGGCACCAACCCCATCATCCTGCAGCACTATGTCGAGAGCATCCTCAGCAACCTCGAAATGCACCACGAGAGCAAGCAGTGCTTCTTCCCCGGCGTGCGGCTGGGCGTCACCGTATGGCCCAGCTTCATCGCCGCGTGTGAGGCGCTGGGCGACAGTCTCCGACGCCGAGCCATCCTCTGCATGAGGCACGCGGCGTGGGCCGGGTTCCAGAACGCCGAGGCTGCAGAGATGGTGGCGAAGGAAGTGTGGCGGCGACGCGATGCGGGAGAGTTGCACGTCTCGTGGAGCACCGTCCTGCGGGAGTCGCAGACCATTCTGCTCCTGACGTGACAGTCTCGCTGGCTGGATACACACTATCAAGGTAGTGTGATACTCGACGAGAATGCCATCACAGACCGACATCGCGCCTGACAGCCACAAGTCGCCTTGTCCAAGCAACCAGTCCGGGTCCCAAAGTCGACTCCTGCGTATTCAGTGGGGTTGACCGCGACGGCGAAAGCGATACGTCAAGAACTCGGTCCGTGTTCAACTTCAAGTTGTCTCAGGGGTCACGAAAAGCAGAGCAACAAGAAACCAATCAGGTTCATGGTCTCCCCTAGCCCAATAAAACCAGGGGTTGACGGCAATGCTTTCTCTATAAACCCCCGTATGAGAGTCGAGATGACGGCGACGAGGATGACGGTGGTGACAGCATCCGAGTATCAACCTTTCCAAGAACCGGTCGTCAAGACAGCGTACCTCGACACATCAATCGTGGGGCCACGGGCCCCTATCATCAAATGGTTCCAGGCAGTCTCCAATTGTCTTGTTCTCGTGATTGTGCCTTGGTGCGTGGTTTATGGTCACTCCTTTTTCAAGGGGAGAGATACCTCTGTCAAGAATGAGGTGCACGCAACTTTCATTCAACTTGGACCATTCTACTCGGATCTCTGGATTATAGCCTTCCGGCGATTACAGACGCCGCTCAGTCCAATCGGTCCCAAAGACAAGGCCGAGACCCATCAACAAGATCGACAAGATGAATAAAGCCATGCGAAGATATAATCCGAAATGTGCCACCAGATCGCCATTTCATTCAAGGAAAAGCAAGGAAAGGGAGCGAGGCCGTCGCAATAGGGCCGTGACAAAGCATCGAGATATTTTGTTCGTAGAGAGCGGTATCTATCTACCTATCTACCGAGGCAATGCCCATCTCCTACGAGAGGGACTTGAATCGGTACAAGTCAAAATCATTTCAGTTTCAGTTCATGGTCTTCTCGTCCTCCGTACCAAGTAGGTTTCCTCTTTCAGGTCTCGCGTAAGTAATCTACAAGTGAGCTTGTTCATTCATTCCTTTTGATAGGGAGTACTCGCGAGGGGGTACTACCTAGGCGATTCTCATCCCAATTTGTCCCGCTGGTGAGATCCAGGAGGCACCCGTCTTTGTGTCTTTGTGTCCCCTTGTGATTACAGTATACCTTCCTTATACTACCCTTTCAGGATCAAGCGCCGAGATAATAGGAACAGTAGGAACCCAATCAAAGAGGCTAGCTAGCTCCACCCCAACAACATGTAACATGTAACATGTCGAGAGGATCTCTTCTTGTGTCGCGTCAGAGGGGGAGATGCCCACGCCACGAGCAAAGTGTCTTGTTGGTTTCGTGCTATGTACCTCGTACTTGGTCGGTCCTTGGTATGGATACGCACAAGGCACTTTGGTAATATTCAGCCAAGCTCCTCAAGACAAACTCAGCCGCAATTCGACCCACTGCTAGGCAAACTGGGCCGAAGTTCGAAACTCCTCGGGCAAACGGGCTGAAGCTCTATGTACCTCGTACTGGGAGATGACAAGGCAACCTTCAGTATTTTGCTATAAGAGCGTCTTGCGGCCTTTTGAGAAGATGTCGATACTCCGAAACTCCCCTACATATGTACCTACTAGGTAAGCAGGTCCGCTCATAGGTCGCTGCTGACCAGCAAAATCCCGTCATGGAATCTTCAACCCTCAGATCCCCTCAGGAGGCTAAGCCAGTTCCCCCTTATACCCTGCCTGAACGAAAATGCCGGGCTCGACACGACCAACTTGTCCCCGGCACTCTCTGTTCAGTATGCGAGGCACTGGATGTGAATGCCCTCGTCGCCCCAGCGACAAAGGATGTCGTAGGAGAACTGCGTCCTGGAGTCCACCTCGGCACCCTCTCCCACCTCCGCGACTGTGCCAGCCACTGTCCCTTCTGCAGCCTGATCGTCGATCAAACCCCCCCAGTCATCTCCCCCGAGGCGGTCAAGCCCGAGCACTTCGAATACAAGGAGCACTCCCACCGGATCCCCGCGCCGATTGACCACTGGAGATACGGGACTGACACGCTGGCGTCCGACGACGTTATCGTCAGCCTGAGAAGCTTCCGCGGCGACATGGAACATCTCCAGGACTTGCCCATGATGGCCTGGAAGGACTACCTCGACGAGCCTACCGCCACGTGGCTCGAGATTCTCGTTCACAGCGGTGGACCTGCCTTCGGAAACCCCGACGAGGGCATGGCGATTACGTGCCAAAAGCGCCTTGTTCCGTGTTTGGGAGACCGGGTGCGAGCACCGCTGGCGGGACGAACCGTTCCTCCGCAAGTCGAGTACTCTGAGTTGAGGTCCTGGCTCGATTCGTGCTTGCAGAACCATGAAGAGTGCTTGTTGCGCGAGTTCAAGTCCAGCGCAGCTCCAGAGAAGCATTTCTGGTTGATCGACACTGTCGAGAGGAAAATTGTCCTCGCCGAGCAGAATGCAGAGTATGCGACCCTCAGCTACGTTTGGGGCGATGCTCAACCCAAGTATATATCCTTGAAAGAGATTGCCCCGTCAAGCGCTGGAAACCAGAAGCCCGGTGCAGATCTCCCTCGGGACCTCCCCCCGACCATCTCAGACGCGATCGAATTCTGCTGCGGGCTAGGCATTCCCTTCCTGTGGGTTGACTCTCTCTGTATCGACCAGGACGATCAAGACATGAAAGATTTCCTCATCGACAGGATGCACACGATCTACATGAACGCCAAAGTCACCATCGTCGCCGCGGCCGGGGACGACGCGAATGCTGGACTCCCCGGTGTCCGCCCTGAAACCCGTACGGATGACCGTCCAACTGTGCGCCTCCAGGGCATACCATTCACTACAAACCACCTCCCCCCAAAGCAGTTGATCACACGGTCAGCCTGGTGGACTCGGGCGTGGACGTTCCAGGAAGGCTGGCTGTCGCCGCGATGCTTCATCTTCACGGCCGACGAGGTGCTCTTCTGCTGCACGCGCTCAACCAGTCGCGAGTCGCTGCGCTCGTGCCGTCCTCACATCCGCAACGGGCTGGCCACGCGGGTTTTCCAGACCCACGAGCTCGGCTTCCCCGCCGGAGTCGGCCAGATTCTCGAGGAGCCGCGGATCTCGAGCCTCTTCAACAACGTCATGCGGCTGTACCACCGCCGCCGCCTCAGTCTGGAGAGCGACAAGATCCGCGCCGTCCAGGGCTGCATCAACACCATCGCCGAGAGCCACGGCATCTCCGGCTGGCACGGCATGCCCATGCAATGGAGCTGTCTCGCGGGCGCCCTCATGTGGCGACACTTGCAGCCGGCGAAGCGCACGAACCACGCGTTTCCCAGTTACTCCTGGGCCAGCTGGGACGCCGAGCCCGTCTACTTCCGCGAATTCGACGTCTTCCAAGCCGACTTTGCGCGGATCGAGGAGCTCGAACCCACACCCGGCCTCCCCCCTACATTCTCACCCGGGGTTGGCGGCTGCCCACCACTCTCCTTCACGGGCGAGGTTGCGTTATTGCACATCAAACCCAGCAGCGGAGATGCATGGTCTCTCGACGAACAACGACATGTCGAATCAGCCCCGGGGCTCTTTGCCGATTGTTATCCCGCCGAGGCGGCGTCAGGCGGAAAGCTCCAGTCCTCCGGACCACGCGAGTTTCTCGGTATCGCCAGGGGTTTCCACCGCCTCAGCAACCAGGTCCTGGTCATGACGATGATGATCGAGCGCAAGGAAGGGTATGTGGTTCGAAGCACGGTGCTCTGCGTGACGGACCGGGCGTGGAGCATGGCGGACCGTTGGCGCGAGACGTTGGTCTTGCTCTGAACTGGCTGAATGGTCATTGATATGTAACATACTCGACCAAGCCCCGAACAGCTCTGTGTCGTTTAGAAGGTAGCAAGTTATAGAATAGAATGCCCTTATACTTGCTACCTACGTAGCCAGGATTCCTAGGAGATGGCGCCGGAGTCACCAGTTTCATGTTGAAGTTCTTGCTATAGGATCTCAAGCCCCAGGGTTGTGCGGAGCTCTTCGTCGGTCCATCCGGCAGCATGGAATACCTCCAGGTCATTGTCGAAGAGACAGGGCTCAGCTTCATTTGAATCTAGGAAATTAACCAGGCTGAAATAATTCGCACGATAGCTGAAATCGCTGGGTGCTTGGAATAAACCGATAAAGTCGTTGAGACGTCCTTTCAGAGTCCGCGTAGGATACACGCACCATGACAGCCTCCGGGGCGTGTAATAGAGGAGTTTTTTCCCCGAGCTTACCGCTCCTGCATTGCGTAGGAGGCTGCTGATGCTATCGATAGGGACACTGAAGGCGTTTGTGACGATATCCCAAACGCTCCATTTGAACAAAATCAAAGGCGAAGAAATCGTTCGTGCTCGGCCTTCCTGCCACATGAAAATGTCGACACAACGCATAACACTGGCGTTGGGATCAACGCCGGCTCTCAGCAGTGCCGTCAGCACCTCCGTCAGAACGTCTGTCAACCTTTGGGGTTGGTATTTCCATGCAAGTTTCAACAGGACAACTGACCATAGGGGCGGCGGGTTGACTACACCATCCCAGTGGCACGTCTTGTTGGGGTCAGCTCCACGTTGAAGTAGAAGTAGGGCATTCCGGAAAGAAAGATCATCTTCATATCCATGCTGATCAACGGTAGTCCACATTTCAAGTAACTCGGTGAGATAATCCCGGTCTTCTGCGAGCCCTCCTTCAGTAAGTTTCTTCAACACGTACTGAGGGGGACAGAATTTAATGAAGGTCTTGATGTAGTCTGGGTCGTTGCGGGAGTTGCGACTTAAAAGGCTGAACGGTCCTCTGTCCAAGTCCTCCAAATTCCACCAACGCCAGTGGGAGAGTTTCTTAAAGACGTCTTCCAGCTCCGAGAAGAATTCGGAGGCTGCATCAGACTTCATTTGCGACAGATAATAGGGCCACTTCTGGTCCACAGTCACCGTGGGCGACTCCGGCGGAGAAAGAAAATGTAGGATGAGAGCTGTGCTGAGATACCGCTCAACTAGCTCTTCTTCCGTACACAGCCGAGCTTGCAGCAATCCTTGGCCAGTAGGGGTACGCAGAAATTCGGCAGCTGTCCTGTGCACGAAATCAACGGTTGTTGTCATCTCCAAGCGATAGTATTGCAACAAACGCTGAAGAGCTTGAGGCTGTTGCTTCAGGGCGCTCTGGTCAAGCTGTGTCTTCCGCACTTCTAATTCTTTTTCGAGAAAGTGATCGGGGGGCTTGTATGACACCTCCAGGAACCCAGCACAACACACGGCAATTCTTTTTTCTGTTTTGTTGTGATCCACCTCCATCTCAAATTGTTCCATCCCCCAGGTGGCTGTTGACTTGGAGAAGTGGGCGCGCAGATGGTCGTCAGCCATGATGGTCATTTGGAAGAGGTTCTGTTGCCCGAAACGCCGGATGATTTTCAGACAAAGTGCAGCTTCCTTGGCGTATATTGGATAATCGTCTGCCATCCTTTTCCACATGTGTGTGTAGAGGTCGAAGATCTCGGACGGCAGCTGGTCAAGACGTTCCATTAAGGTTTCCCAGTTGTCCTCGTTCTTGATGCCGCGTAACAATGATTTGACGACAAGAGTGACCCAAAGGAACACACCATCAGCCCTTACAACGACCACATCCACAAGTTGAGACGCCTGCATTGAGCTTGTACCACCAAGATGACTGGTCAACGGACTCCCGGTGAGGTTATCTTCGACATAACTTCTGATGTCTGTTTCTGTGAGATCCTGCATGATGATCTTCGGACATCCTTGATATAGTGCATCCAGACTGGTCTGTGGTCGACTAGAGATGCACAGCTTTGTGCGGTTTTGATCCTTCAAGACATCTTGTATGGCCCTGATAACCGTAGTCCCGTCAACATCGTCTCGGAATTCGTCGAGCCCATCAAGAAAGAAACAGAAGCGTTGATCCACGGCCTGTACAATCAGTTGTAGGAGACGAAGGAGCTGCTTACTGGTCCATATGGTCGGCAGCGCTGGGACGTGAGGCTGGACAATATCGCACCACACCCGGAGTGCCTTTTGCTGGTCGATAGCCTCGAGGAGTTGATATATTAAAGAGCGTAGAAGACCAACGCGGCTTTTCTGCAACTCCACGCCGGCTTCCCAGAAGAAGAAAGATAGCACAATCGTTGACTGGCCTGAAGATTCCAGTACACCCAGCGTCCTGCCATCTTGCACGAGAAAGTTCATGAATGTGGATTTGCCACTGCCGGGCTTACCCAGTACCCAATACAACGGTTGGTCATTTTGTAACCACTTGGGAAAATCGTGCCAACGTTGCTGTGTATCATCGCGTCTCTCGAATATCCATTCGAACGTCTTCTCATGAACATCTTTGATAGTGTCTTGTCGCAGATTAATCTCCGGAAAATGAAGGCTTTCCATAAACTTGTCAAATCCGGCCTTGTGATGTTGAATGCCCACAAGTTTGTCTAGTTTCTCATCGACTGCATGAACGCGGGTTCTGGTGACAAGATGCTCCTCAGTGACGTGAGCTCTTGTCTGGCCGCCCATTGATGAGACAAGCTGCTCCACACTCGTGGTACCCTCTGCGATCCTTCGAGCGATCTTCTCTTGCCTATCGTCTAACTTCTTCAAGATTTCTCCATTGTCGCGAATGGTGACACTCAGTTTTTCGCTGTGAAAGAGTCATTAGTGGTGAGCGTCCATTCGATTTTAGATCTTGTGGCAGACCTCAAATGTACAAGGACCTTGGTGTTCAGAACCTGAACAAGTCCTTCAAGCCTCCCCTTTAGCCCATCGATGCGGGTAGCTCGCCATTTCGGGGTCAGTGTTTTCTTAACTGCGACTCTCCGGCCTGCCCCAGGAGCACTTTTGAGATGGTTGAGCTCTTTACCGAGAGACTCTGCCGCATCGTGGACCTTCTTGCCAACTTCGACCAGCCCAGTGTCACTTCTGGACAGTTGAGAGACCGTCTGAGCCTTGCCAAGAGCAGCAGAGGTTTGGGACAGCTGATCACAGATGTAACTCAAGTTTTCAATGTCAATGGTCGCACCATACTTGTAGAACTGGCTGCATATCTCCACTGCCTTGACCGATGAGTCTACCACTTGAAAGATATTGCATACGAGACTTAGCGTGGCCACAGCCTCCATGGCGCCGAAGTGGTGTTGGACAACTGTGCGGCTGAAGCAGAAGACGGACTCTAGCGATATTTCCTGGGACGGGAACGGCAGGCTGCTGGTTCGCTAGACAGACTGGATGTACATAAAGAGATGTCCGGTCGATTGTTGCGATATGAAGGATTCAAAGGATGTCGGAGTGTCGAGGATATGACTTGGTTGTTGCGATGGAACAACATGAGATCGGAAAGACCTGCCCTCGTGCCTAGAACAATTGCTGCTCATTCGCCAACTCTTTGCATAAGCGACGTGCATGCGCCTTGCCACCTCACAAGGCAGACTCGGAGCAGTAGAACCAATATGGCGAGGCTGTGATCTACCAAGCATTGCCTTGCGCTTTGACTGCTGGGCAAAAGATTCAAGCCAGTATATAAATCTCTCAAGATAGGAATAGGATCGGAAACAGACACTTTTCACTGATTCCAAGTGTCCTGGAACGCCACGAACGAGGTACACGGCTGAGAGACTGTCGGGTGTAACGATTTCTAATATGAAGCCTGTTTGGCCAGATCGAGAACCAGGCCCATCCACTTGGAACACTCCTGTTCACGGTGGAACAAAATTCAACTCCCAGTCAGTTTCGTCTGCCAGTGCCGTTCTGCCCACCACAACGTGGAAGCGACCAACCATCTCGGCGTTCGGCCAACCGCCCTGGTGCCGATGGACGCCCTCGAGATGTTGCATGAAGCTTTGTACGTTGCCAAAGATAGGTGTCGTTGCCTTTGCCACGTCCCTCGTCTTTGCCGCAGGATTGTTCCCTTTGCCCGATTTCGTACTGCCGTTCGCTCCAGACATGCCTGCCCCTGATAAGTCTAGCTATCCTCGATACATGCCCTCCGCGCAGCAAAAGATGCACCCGAAACTCCCGAAACTTCCGTCCCTACCAGACGGTGTATCGACAAGTGGCATTCCCTTCAAAGACACATGGCATCTGGCCAGGAACGTCCAACGATACCTTATACCCCCACCATCCGAAACACGAATTCTAGGATCAAAGACTCTCTCAGGCTTTCCTTTCTTCTTTTTGTCATTGGAGGTGTTGACAGTGTGATAAACAGGTCCCTCAAAACTGCACTTCTCGCAGCGCCAGTATGCGGTCATTCCAGACAAGCCGTGAGGTCGGTTGGCAATGGTGAACGCCTTGCGCTCCATGCCGGCTTGAAGTCGAAATGCCCCCTTGCAAAAACCGAGGAGGTTTTTATCAGACGGAAGGATGATGGGCATGGAATTTATCAGGGGAGCGAGCAAGGGAACAATGGACGAAGGCACGGTATGAACCAAAGGGGCACGACCAGGAGCGGGCAAAGGAGATATCGGAGCCACGGTTTGAGAATTGGATGGGATTGGGAGCTGCGGGAGAGGTCCGGTGGGTGGTGGTGTTCGAGCTGGCTCAATTGAAATGGGTGCAGAGACGGACGAGCGGGACCGCAATTCTCGCGATACCGTTGAAATGTCTGTTTGAGAACGAAATGGTCGTTGAGAGAGGATTTTTCGATTTACTTTCTTTCCAACACCAAGTGATCTCGGTTCTCGCGCTGGCGGCCTGCTATTTTCTTGCAGGTATTGCACATGCCCAAAGCTGCTGTGGGTGGAAGATCGTGCTCTCAAGGAATGAGAGGTAGAAACCTGTTTTTCTGGAGTCGTTGGGTGGTACATATCGTAAATGGTACTATTGCTGAACTGCCTACCATCCCCTCGGGCAGCATAGTCATCATAGTCATCTGGGCCAAAGCGAACTCTAGAACCCTGAGTTTGACGATCGCTAGGTGGTTGAGAGAGATCAGGTAACGAAGGTGTGTGGCTGTTTCTCCCAGTCGAGATATATGAGTCTCGATCAATTTCTTGTGCACTTGTTGGAGGGTTCAATACAGGCTGGCCACCGGGTGCAGGGAACATCAAGAGGATGTTGTCATCCGATGGCAGAGCCTGGGATGACCTTCGTCGCAGACTCCTGTCATCGGCTTCGTCAATCCTGTGAACTCCCATAGACGGTAGGTTTACATGAAATCTGGCGGCGGCTGGCCGATAAACTGTCTTGGACTTTGAATGTGGATAGTTCTCTTGAGAGCCACCAGAACTAATCGACATTGTACGTTCTCCAGATGGATGATGTGACAAGGACGACACGCGAAGCTGACCAAGCTGCTCCGCCAAAGCGTCAGGAGTCCCTGGAGCTGGAAAGGCGATAGATGAGTGGGTGCTGTGGCTGCTTGAATAGCCCAGCGATGGAGATAGAGGAGACATCAAGCCAGAGGATGACGAATAAGACAACGTTTGAGGGTAGAATGCCTGCGCTTTCATAGCATCCGAAAGTCGCTGAGACAGTTGACCCAGACAAACACCAGCATTGACTCGGCAATCGTCTGACGCAGTCTGGAGGGCAACAGAGTCAAGTTCGATCCCGTCCATGTACACTGTCCTCAAGGTGATGATCAGGGACATTTGTAAATTGATCAAGACATCTTTCAGCTGTTCTCGTGCTTGTATGTCACCGCAGGCATAAGGCTCCCCGAATCGTTTGAGATCATGTTCATAGTGGCCACGGACAATAACAGGCCCCAGGGCAAGAGATTCCAGGAGGTCTCGGGTTGCGTCTTCTGGTAATTGCGTGCCACTGTTCTTCGTTCTTTGGTCACGAATGCGCTGTACCAGTTTCGTAGCGTCGTCAAAAGCGGTGATGACTAGTAGCTGAGGTTAGAGACGCCGTCTCCCCAAGGGGTAGAAAAGACATACCAGCTCGAACGAGTAATGAGATATCCATCTGAGCCTGAATACTCTCATACGAGGGATCTGAGCAAATGCTGGCTGGAGTGGGTTAGGATGTCAACTCATGGCGCAAGTGCCTGCGCGGACATTTGCTACTACAGCGCAATACCTTCGATGAGCGCGTCACCGAGACGGAGACTTTAAGAGAAGGGTGCAGAAGCAATGAGCGAAACAGAAAACAGTCCATAGCCAGGGTCAAGTTCATTACCACTTTGCGGTTGATCAGGCGCAGGCGCGTTTGATGGCTTCCCATGGTAGCCTTACCATTCGACAACGCAGTGTTGCCTCCAGGCAATGTTGAGCAGCCGGGGCAGTGATTGTAACGATTGCAAAGAGCCAATTCGAAGCCAGGAAGGGGGATCTGGTTGAGCCATGCTGGAGAAGAGGCGTGGATCAAATGCCAGGACTGGAATCGGCCTGCATTAGCGGACGTTGTGAATGAGCAGGGAGATTCAGAAGAAATGTGTGGTCGAATCGAAGCTGTGATTGAACTCGGGGGCCACGATGGCAAAGTTGTGGAGGGATGTCAGGCGCCCACTTAAGGGTTTCGTGGATCCCACTGCCCAGGGCTCAGCCTAGCAAGAACCTGTAGTCAGGCGGGGGACCTGCCGCTTACCGAGAACAGGCGGATAGGGTCATTTCTAGGCGGCCTCTCCTCGCCCACTGGCCACCCTGCGCACTAGGTATACGAGTAATGTAGGTACCCGTCAACGGCACGGCACTGATGCTCGGGAGAGCCTCAATCGTCTCCAATGGGAGATAGACCTTCCATCCGCCTTTATGTAACCTAAAATACTCAGACAAAAAGGATCCAGAAAGGGGTTGAGACACGCCCATCACCAGACCACTCATCGAACCCATCTCCTCTACCAACGTCGCAGGTTCAAAGGATTTAACTCGTCGCTTCTACAGGTGAAGATGAGAACCCATAATCTGAGATAACACGATCTCAGCCTCAGATTCTCGAGTCATCGACCCCTTGTGTCTGAACAGACATATCACTCGTCGAATGAGGCCACAAAACAATCCCTCCCTGCAAGTAGTCGGTGGTCCATTCGAGATACCTCCACAGTGCCTCGCACAATACGCGGCACAGGTTGCTGGTCTATTTGTCACAACATATATTCAAATCCTCAATCAACTGTGGCTTGTCGATTATAGGTGCAAAATTGTAGCGGAAGGTGAAAGAATTTACACAATAATACTGGAATTGATTGAGAGAAATGAATGCCGCTTTCATTATCTCTAAAGGTTGCATTGGACCTGTCGTCCCTGCTACTATCTGTACACGGAAAAAAGAAAGGGAAATCTAATGCTGCTGTAGTTCAACCATGCTGTCCCATATCAAATCTTTTCAACCCTTATACCAGGCGCCTGATGTTTCTTATCATCGCTCCAATTTTGGAAACACCTCCGCAAATGCAGATAACGCCCCCCTTCGAGGAGCACAGATACATGCTGGAATGCTTATGCCACCGAAGAAAGGCGCCTCACCCCTGAATCTCCTGCATTTTCATATGAATCCCAGTCTTCCAAGATCTTCGCCAAACGAGGTGAGTTGGTCAGTCGATACACCTCTTCAAAATATTCCTTGGAGATCTCAAAGGGTCTCGCCGTCACATTGGGAATATATTTCCCAACCAGTTTGGCCGGGTCTATGCTTGTCTTGTTGATCTTCTTCAGCAAGAAAGAACGGAACGGTTTGACGCCAGATCGTAAAAAGGTGCTGTGGAAAGGAACGTCAATGCCCTTGAGTGGAATAACGGCAAAGCCGCGTTCGAGCTCGATCGGCTGCGGCTTGGCCTCCGTCCGCTTGCGACATTCACCAATGATCTCAACCAGGTGAGCCTTCACATCGTCCAGAGACATCTGTTGCATCAAGGCTTGGATGTCAATCTTCTGCATCTTGAGGACGTTGAGCACATTTGTCAAGCAGTCAAGCGCGCGCAGATCACCAGCGCACACATATTGCATGTTCGCAACGTTGTAGTTGACGATCTCCACCAGCCAGTCAGTGGTCTCGGCAATGTTCTCCACGACATATTGTAAAGCCTGTTCATTGAACGTCTTGGAGATCCGGCTCGGGTTTACGGCGCACATCGAGTAGTTGCTTCGTCCCTGCTCATCACGCTCCACGGCAACTTGCATGGTCAAACCGCGGTAAAACACGACTGACACCAAGCTCTCAATGGGCATGACTTCGGCGATCGAGGCGAGAGCGGAGTACTCTCCCAGCGAGTGGCCAGCAAAGCTGCTGTCACGCTGGACAAGGCCCTTGGAGCGCATGTCTTCGAACGCAGCCTTCTCCATCAATGTCAAGGCTGGCTGCGTGAACTGTGTGGCAGACAGCAAACCGGTGGGGGAGCGGTAGGTGTAAGACGAGGTGTTGTCGTTGATCTCCTTGAAGATCTTCTCGGATTTGACAGAGCCGTCAGCATTGATGGATTCGAAGGTCATTGCCATGTAGTTTTGTCGAATGGCTTTGCCACGTGGCCCACCAAAATGGATGGTCAATTCTTTGGGATTGTTCTTGACAATATTAATGATGGAGAGACCATAGTTATCCATGAAGTGACGATCGGCGCGGTCCCACACCTCCTTGGCCACGGGACTGCGAGCGTAGAGGTCCATGCCCATGCCTTGTTCTTGCGAGCCTTGACCCGTGAACACATACGACGACACAGGCTGCTCAACTTCAGCTTCAGCAACGAGAACTTTGTCGCCGGTTTCTTTATTGGTCGTCTCAATCTTGATTATTTTTCGACCAGCAACCATGCCGACGTGCTCGAGTTTGACCTCCAAGTCATCATTGGGGAGGACCATGCCAACCAAGGAGACATGGTAGCTTCGAACACGTCCAATATGGTTCTCTGCGGCCCAAGTCTCCACCAGGCTTCGGACGGCAGCGCTGGAATACATGCCATGAGTGATTGTACCAGGAAGGTTTGCGTAGCTGGCAAATATCCGCGACACGTGAATAGGATTGTAGTCGCCTGATACGCGAGCATAGGTCTCATTTGAAGCTGGCGCCCTCAGAGTCAAAGGAGTCTTGCCACTGAGAGGGATTGCGTTCTCAAAATTGACAGGTTGGTCAATAGTTTGGCCGTTTCGCTGGAGGTAGTCAATCACTGGATTGCCATGAGAGACTCCCGCTTCATACTCGACGGATGCAACTTGAATGATTTCCTTGGTAGGTAGTTCCAATTCGACCTGACCCATAGTCTCTACGCTGGAGAAGACGGACTTGTTCTTGAAGCGGACGAGGCTTGACAGACGGAATGTCAGAGTTTGTCCCAGCAGGTCGATATCCGGCTCATCAAGGTGAAACCATTCCTTGGATCGAAGAACGGCAATGTCTTTTGACGTGGCCAGTGTGACTTGCATTGGCGTCTCCTGTTTGCGTTGGAAGGTATTCTCGTAATCCTCGTAGGTGCCCCTGTACAGGAATTGGCTTGTAACTTCCATCACCGGCTGTCCTCTGCGGGTGATAGTGCCGCAAACCTCTACCATTTTGCCAGAGTCTTGATTGAGCACCGCGTTGATGCGGGCAGAGGTGTGAAGCTCATCGCCGACCTTTAAGGGTTCAGCGCCAGGAAGCATGCGGAAGCCATTCGACAGGTGGACGAGCTTGAGAAGGTCACCGTCGATCGCGCGAGGGAAAATTGGTTTCGTGATAGCCTTCCACCCAACCACAATAGCAAAGTCCATGGGTGCAAAGACTTCCTTACCAGGGCGGTCGACGAAGGCTTCACCAGTATTTCCAACTGCGTGGACAAAGTCGGCAACGTCTTGAGTTACAATAGTCGCCCTGCCCCCATCGAAGACGTTCGTGGTAGGGGTGTCAAATGGCACATCCTTCTCGCCAAACCAAACCCGGTAGTAGAATTCCTTGATGCGGTCGTTGCGACCATCCATAACTTCATGAATTGGCGCATAGCCAGTTTCCGGATGGTAAATAAATTTGAAAGGAAGGGCAACGGGCTCTCCTTCTGCTGTCCTTTCTTCCCACATATTCATTAGGATCTCATTCTTGCCGAACAGACTAATGTCGAGCGTCCTGACCAACTTTCCAGATTGGCTGGGCTCCTTGACGACGATCGTGGTCTTGTAAGGGTCCTTTGGATGAGCGATTTCGACAGTCATGCCACGCGTCGGAGCTAAGATGCGTCTGATAGGATTGTTCTGATAGCGAGCACCTTGTACAAAAACATCAGCTGTAAAGAAGGCATGTCGCCATGAGTAGTTTTTCCCAGCGAGAAGCTGAATCCAAGCATCAGCATCGGGCAGTGTAGCAGATGGCGAAGTTGAGAGCCTGTACGTGGTCCGTGACCCATCGGGGATGACAGTGACACCATCCAGCTCCACCACGCTCTCCGCAGAAGTGATGATCTTCCCACCAAAATACTCGATGACAGGAACGGCAGAATCACGTCCACCATAGAAATCTTGGATCAGTCCTCGGATGTGGTCATGGTGAATGCCGTCCAGAATTTCTTTGATGGGCTCATCGACCTTGGTTGAGTATTTGGCAGCCATGGGTCCTTGTAAGATGCAGGTCCTGCCAACATCCTGATCAACCACAGCATCAAGATCCTCGGATTGCCAGAGAGAATCCTTCTTGAACCAGAACTCGAAGTTTTCGTCGAGAGAGGGAACAAATGGCACAGGCTTTTGACCGCGTCGCTGGCACAAGAGCAGGAAGTGCTGGACGTCCTGCGCATTGATCAACTGAGTTTCAGCCTCGGGATATGCGGCTAGAACCTTGTCCACAACAGGGAACGGGTTCTCGAATTCTGCGTAGCTCTGGATGAGGGAGGGTTTTCCTGAGCCGACAGTAAAACGTTCCTCGACTCGTCGGATGAAATCGACAGTGAGATTACGCAGCGTGACCTCGATCCACCGGGATTGATGCTTCACGTACATAAGTTCGACCATACGTCGAATCACTTCGGCATAGGTCATGTCCTCAAGGTCGACTGTCTCACCTGCAGAATTCTTGCCGAACCAAACTTTCTGGAAGTCGTCGTTCAGCTTCTTGATGATGTACTCGCGTTGCTTCTTAAGCTCTGCGACGCGCTTCTTTTTATCCAGGCTAAAGATCTTCTGATCCATCTCCGCCCAGAATTTGACACCGCGAGTCGCAAGCTTGTGAATTGGCTCGCCCATCTCCGATCGGACAGTGATAACACCGCCAGCGGCTCCTTTGTATGTCTTCTCCCAGTCGGAGTCATCAACACCTTCAGCTTCAGCAATGGCCTTCTTTGCATTGAAAGAAGTATGGGCCTCCTTCGCCGTCATCATACGACTGCCAAAGAGGATACCATCAAAAGGCATCGGCGGATAGCCGAATTTGCGCGACCATGTACCGGTCAGATACGGATAAGTGTCTTCAGATCCGCCAAAACCGCTACCTGCCACCAGGATAATATTCTGGCATTTTCGAATACGGCCGTACATCTGGATGATTGGCTGATGGAAATCTTCGAAAGAGTGATGGCCACCACCGCGTCCACCAGTCCATTGCAGAATGACAGGGAATGTTGGATTGGCTTTGGCGATGTTAATGACTTGCTGGATGGCGTCCATAGACCCAGGCTTGAAGGCAATGTGCTTGATCCCGAGGGTATCGATGTATTCTTGAGCAACCTCGATCGATGGCACACCTGCACCGATAGTCAAGCCTTCGATGGGCACACCGTCAGCACGGAGCTGGGCGAGAAGCGGGATTTGCCAGCCCATAGCACGGGGATTGACATAGATCAAGTTGACTGTAATGCCTCGGCCAGGTGGAATTGCCTTCTCAATCTTGTTCAATGCTTCAGTCATACTCTTTGCATTGTAGTAACCGCCACCGGCCAATTCAATGTGGTAGCCGGCATTCATGGTCGCGGCAACGAAGTCCCACGGCACAGTGCAGGGAGTCATGCCAGCAACCATCAAAGGCGGCACACCCAGCAAGCGCGACATCTTGGTGTCTACGTAGGTTTGACCAACGGAAGTTTTGACAAGTCTGGGTCCATGTTCCTTGACCCAGTTGGTCGCATATTTCACGGCATGTTCCTCGTCGCGGTCGAAGAGTTCGGGCTTGTACCCAACTTCCGTGTTGGTCCCATCCATGGCACCAGCCAAAATCACGCGCACTCCGGTGCCATCTTTGTTGCGGTTGGTGAGAACTCCAAGGCCTGAAATACCTCCTGGGCCAAAATCGATGATGTGGGAGGCGCCTTCAAAGACTGTAGCCTGCTCCCAGTGAACTGGATCCTGGGTTATCATACGCACAAGATCCGGGACCACATCCTTGTCTTGCTGGGCGCGAAGATCCTCACCAGTGTTTGTGTCGTACACGGGAATAGTCAAACGAGACGCGGGAATCTTAGTGTCGGCCAAGTCCTCGAGGATCTGCTTGTATGCCTCACTTAACAGGGGGCTGTGGAAGGGAGCGGTAATTGGTAGGAACCGGTTGACAAAGCGCACTTTACGCTCCGTAAAGGGAATGCGGTTTTGGTCTAGACCAGTGGGAGCCTTGACCTTCCGTAGTCGAAGATTGAGACCATGCAGAGAGATTGGAGCACCGGTCACGACGAAGTTACGGGCACTGTTTACCAGAGAAATGGCAATATGTCGATCTTTGGGCAAATGCTCGTTGGTGGCGTCGATGTGCTCTTGGAGTTGCTTCTTAGACAGGTCTCGCACCGAAAGCATAGGTGTGGGATTGCCTTCCCCGGCTTCCAGCGAATCTTGCAGGATCGAGGGCGCAATACTTGTGCGAGGGTAGGCTTGCTGACTCCGCATGCCGATCCAGAAGAGCATGGTGATGGCATCTCTGGCCGCTCTTGCAAAGCTTTCCCACGAAGTTGCAGTGGCAATAGCCGCAGCGGTGACTACACCCTGAGAGTGGCCTGTGGTGCCATTGAGCCGTTCATTGACCTCACCAGGCGTCTTCCCAAGGACTTTGCAGGTCACCTGATAGTGGGCAAGCTGGACCAGTCCGATCAAGGGCAAGCTGACCGGCGCAGAGACCAAGTAATCGGTGTCAGGTTGTGTTTCCTTGTCGGCGAGCCAGCTTAGTATGTCGAGGCCTTTGGTGTAAAACTTGTCCGCCTTTGGACTTCTAGCCAATGTCTGCAGCAGCTCGGCCGAGGATTCAATCAGATCTTTGGTGAATGATGGATATGTGGTATAGACCTCGCGCAGCTCCTCAAAATATTCTTCAATGTTTCCCTGCCCGCCAAAGACGGTAAAAATGCTGGCCTCCTCATCATCTGCTGCCCGAAGCAGAGCCGAGTCGTGGGGTTTGATAGGCCGTGCCACTGCCGCACGACCAGCGTAGTAACACTGAACCAAAAGATTTTTCTTCGCCGTAATCCCGGGCAGGGTTGCAGCCAAAGCATGTACATCATTCGCATGCATGAAAGCTCGCTCAAACTCGTTCAAAGCCACCTTGAGCACTTCAACAAATCCAGCAGCCTCCTCGTCATCATCGACTTCAGCGGCAATGAAGCCAATGTAGCGGGCGACTAGCTCGGCACTTGATGAAGGCTCGTCATCTTGAGCGAGCTCATCTGTGGGTTCTGGGAGTGATGCATTGAACGCATCTTTCAGCTGAGATGCCTGGAAATGGAGACCGGTAGGTATCAGGAAGGAGTACTCCAAAGAGCCATGAGTGAGGATAAGAGGGCGGAGGTTCTGGGATGATCGAGGAGTGTGAGTGCCGGTCGCACCGCCGGAGTACATGGTTGCTGCCGTGTAGATTGAATGTTTCTATGTCGTGCGATAGTGTAAGGTAGTGTGTATTATCAAAGTGAGCAAGCTAATGCCACTTGAAAATTTGCGCGTTCCTGAGGGAATGAGTGAGGAAGATAGAAAGGAGTGTCAGTCGAGAAATTATGTTGGAGCAGGAACAGACACAGCTGGTAGCACGATAGGATTAGTTATTGAGGAAATGGCAAAGTGGCCACTGGAGCAATGGAAGGCACTCAAGAGCAGTATGTATTGGGGGTGGTCTTCCAATGTTGGATGGATCTGATGATCTTGCGATACGAATATGGCCGAAGCTGTGAATGTCTGTTGAGTGAAGCACAAAGTTTTTCCCGCTTCGCCGCTCCCAAACCATCACTCAGACCTCAGCAACCCCAAAACGCAACCATTCCAGGCCATCCAAGCCCAGCCTCACGCCGGCCGGGGCGTTGTGGATCCCTGGTTCCGGCGGTCCTCACCAGATATGCGCCAATGGTAATCCCCGGATGACGGCCCCTCAGACGACTAGGCCACGCTAAAATTTTGGTGGGCAGCGCGCTTCTGCAGGGACAGGTACAACGGCGTCATCGCTTCCTCCTCAACCCTCTTGACGGAAGAAAGGAAAACACTCGCAACAAGTGGTCATACTAATCAAATCAACTTGGGCTGGGTGGCTAGGCAGAGTAGGCAGCGAGATTCAGTGAATGAGCTTTTGCGCTAACATATTGATTGTTCTTGTCTCCAAGAAGAAAAGGATACTGTGTTCTCTCTAAGCACCTACCAGAACCACCAGTGAGCTCGTGAGTGACCTCAGCTTTACGTCGCTGTGCAGATACTTCTCCAATTCTGGGCTTCGCTTTACGAAGAAGGCCCCTTGGATAGGTACCTCCCTAGATGCCTAGCTCGGTCCCTGCAAGTTTTGTGGTGCCCGGCGACGGAAAAACCCTGCCTAGAAGATTTTTTGCCTCCCCAAAATTTTTCGTGGGGGAGCCAGACTCACAGCCGGCCAACTTCGGCTTATCCATAGTGCCCACTCTGTCCCCACCCTTTCTCAACCTTCCCATTCTCGTGGTCTCCAACAAACACTGCAGGTGTTGGTGGTTCAAGCCTATCAGGCTGATGCGTGCATGTACAGGGCGACGGCCAATTTTTTCAACATCTCCGCCCGCAGTTGGTTACAGCATCCATCCGCAGCTTGACAGATCCCTTCCCAACCAAAACCAAAGCGACGTCGCAAAAACTCATCTTGCTCGCCGCTTGACCTCTTCTGTCTCCATATTCAATTCAACCCTCTTGTCCGTGGGCTGATTGTCATCTTGTTGCGGATTACTTTTTCTTTCCCGAAGCCACAGGACACCTGAACGTCGAAGTTCGAAACAACTTCATCACTTTCCAACCTCCCAGCTCCTCCGCACTCCTTCCTCCGATACATCCTTTCCTTCATCCCATTGTAACCACCAATTTGGCTTGTTTGACCAAGCACAAGTACCTTCACTGCACAACCTGTGCTCGCCATTGCCCTGCTCTGATTAACTTCATCCAGCACCAGGCAATTGGATCTGGTCAATCCGACCTCAGACTCTAGAAAGAGAAGCCTTCATCCTTCATAATTGTACCTCGAAACCTCGAAGCCTCGAAACCGCCGAAATGCGTCCCGAAGTCGAGCAAGAGCTCGCTCATACGCTCCTTGTTGAGCTTCTAGCATATCAGTTTGCCTCGCCGGTCAGGTGGATTGAGACACAAGATGTTATCCTTGAAAAGAATAGAACAGAAAGAATTGTTGAAATTGGTCCTGCAGACACCCTGGGCGGTATGGCCAAGAGAACCCTTGCCTCCAAATATGAGACCTACGATGCTGCTACCTCATTATCGCGACAGGTGCTAGCGTACAACAAGGATTTGAAAGAGATATACTATGATGTCGATCCGGTGGAGGAAGAGCCTGCTCCAGCAGCTGCTCAAGCTTCATCGTCCGCTGCAGCATCATCCACACCTGCTCCTGCTGCTGCTCCCTCCGCCACAGCCGCAGCTCCTCCGCCAGCAGCCAGCGCTGGCCCTGCAGCTGCAGTGCCGGATGCTCCAATTGGAGCAGTCGACATCTTGCGGGCGTTGGTGGCTCAGAAGTTGAAGAAGCCACTTGCAGATATCCCCCTCAGCAAGGCAATCAAGGACTTGGTTGGTGGAAAATCGACCCTCCAAAACGAAATTCTAGGAGATTTGGGCAAGGAGTTTGGCTCGACACCAGAGAAACCAGAAGACACCCCCTTGGACGAACTCGGTGCTTCAATGCAATCAACTTTCAACGGCCAGCTCGGCAAGCAATCGCAGTCACTGATTGCCCGCTTGGTTGCCTCCAAAATGCCTGGTGGCTTTAATATTACGGCTGTCAGAAAACACCTCGAGACCAGCTTCGGACTCGGACCTGGCAGACAGGATGGAGTTCTTCTGCTCGCTCTGACCATGGAGCCAGCGTCACGTCTAGGCTCGGAAAGCGATGCCAAGGCTTATCTCAGCGATGTTGCCCAGAAATATGCTGCAGCAGCTGGAATCAGCCTTTCCTCCGCCTCAGCTGGTGGTGCCGCAGCCGGTGGTGCCGCCGCTGGCATGATGATGGATCCGGCTGCTATCGATGCTCTGACCAAGGATCAACGAGCACTGTTCAAACAGCAACTCGAGCTGTTAGCCCGTTACCTCAAGATGGATCTACGTGCTGGTGATAAAGCTTTCGTTGGCTCTCAAGAGGCCAACAAGGCCCTCCAAGCCCAGCTCGATCTTTGGAACACCGAACATGGCGAGTTCTATGCCTCAGGAATTGAACCCTCCTTCAGCCCTTTGAAAGCTCGTGTTTACGACTCTTCGTGGAACTGGGCCCGACAAGATGCTCTCAGCATGTACTATGACATCATTTTCGGCCGTCTCAAGGCAGTGGACCGAGAAATCGTCAGCCAGTGCATTCGGATCATGAATCGATCAAATCCAACCCTGATCGCCTACATGCAATATCACATTGACAACTGCCCCACTGAGCGAGGCGAGACCTATAAACTGGCCAAGGAGCTCGGAGAGCAACTTATTGAGAACTGCAAGGATGTTCTCAATGAAGCGCCGGTTTACAAGGATGTCATGGTCCCGACCGGTCCCCAGACCACGATCGATGCGCGAGGCAACCTCGACTACAAAGAAGTCCCCCGACAAAGTGCCCGCAAGCTTGAGCACTACGTCCGTGAGATGGCCGAGGGTGGGAAGATCTCTGAATACAGCAATCGGACTAAAGTGCAGAATGACCTGCGCAACGTTTACAAGTTGATTCGAAAACAGCACAAGCTATCAAAAGCTTCCCAGTTGCAATTCAACACCTTGTACAAGGATGTTGTCCGTGCTTTGGCAATGAACGAGTCACAAATCATGCCACAGGAGAATGGTGAGGTCAAGAAACCTGGTCGCAATGGACTGCCACGAGCTACCATGAACGGAAACGTTAAGCAAGGCAAGACGGAGACAATTCCGTTCCTCCATCTGAAGAAGAAAGAACAACATGGTTGGGAGTACAGCAAGAAGTTGACGGGTATCTACCTCGAAGGGCTTGAGAACGCGGCTAAGTCAGGCCTAACTTTCCAGGGCAAGATGGCGCTGATGACCGGTGCCGGTGCCGGCTCCATTGGAGCGGAAGTTCTACAAGGTCTGATCAGTGGTGGCGCCAAAGTCGTTGTCACGACCAGCCGCTACTCACGTGAGGTCACCGAGTACTACCAGTCAATGTATGCTCGGTTCGGTGGCCGTGGCTCTCAGCTTGTCGTAGTGCCATTTAATCAAGGAAGCAAACAGGACGTGGAAGCCCTGGTTGACTACATCTACGACACTAAAAAGGGTCTTGGTTGGGATCTGGACTTCATTGTGCCCTTCGCCGCTATCCCTGAGAACGGCCGCGAAATCGACAGCATCGACTCCAAGTCTGAGCTTGCTCATCGTATCATGTTGACTAACCTGATTCGTCTGCTTGGATATGTCAAGTCGAAGAAATTTGAGAACGGGTTCAACACTCGACCAGCCCAAGTCATGCTTCCTCTCTCGCCGAACCACGGTACCTTTGGCAACGATGGTCTTTACTCCGAGTCCAAACTTGCGCTGGAGACTCTCTTCAACCGTTGGTCTTCCGAGAGCTGGGGTGACTACCTCACAATTTGCGGCGCCGTCATTGGGTGGACTCGTGGAACCGGGTTGATGAGTGGCAACAACATTGTGGCTGACGGCGTCGAGAAATACGGCGTCCGAACCTTCTCCCAACAGGAGATGGCATTCAACCTACTTGGTCTGATGTCCCCTGCGATTATCGACCTATGTCAACAAGAGCCCGTCTTCGCCGACTTGAACGGAGGTCTTCAGTTCTTGCCAGATCTCAAGGACCTCATGACGAAGCTTCGAGCAGAAATCATGGAGACAAGCGCCATCCGACAAGCAGTTACCAAGGAGACCGCCCTGGAGAACAAGGTTGTAAATGGTGAGGACAGCGAGGCTCTTTACAAGAAGGTTACCATCGAGCCCAGAGCCAACCTGAAGTTTGACTTCCCCGAGCTGCCTGACTGGCAGAAGGAAGTCGAGCCACTTAATGCCAAGCTCAAGGGCATGGTTGACCTCGACAAGGTGGTTGTCGTCACTGGCTTCTCCGAGATTGGGCCTTGGGGCAACTCTCGTACCCGGTGGGAGATGGAAGCCTACGGTGAGTTCTCCTTGGAGGGCTGCGTTGAGATGGCCTGGATGATGGGTTTGATCAAGAACCACAACGGACCACTTAAGGGCAAATCATACTCTGGCTGGGTTGATGCAAAGACCGGCGAACCTGTCGACGACAAGGATGTCAAAGCAAAATATGAGAAGCACATCCTCGAACACTCTGGTATCCGTCTTATTGAGCCCGAGTTGTTCAATGGCTATGACCCAAAGAAGAAGCAGTTGCTCCAGGAAATCCAGATCGAAGAAGATCTCGACCAATTCGAGTC